ACAGCAAAAACAACAACAACAACAACAATTGTAAATTTTTCTAGAAATCTGACATCTAGTTTCGAAAATGGAAGTTAATTTTCAGATTTCCAAGCAAAAAAACTTTGTCTTTTGGTCTATTTTTCTCAAACTGGGTTAATTTCATCAGAAAAGTATTAAATAGTTTCAGGTTATATGATTTGCGGGTTAGCCGTGGTGACCCTTTATTCATGGTTGTGATTATTGGAGCGAGCTCATTACATCTGGCAGTTGAAGATTGGGCATCAGTAGGAGGAAACGAGGAAATACAAGAAGATGTCATCCTTTACAAGGGAGTAACGTTTCATCCCCAATCGAAAGCAAATAAAATCGTACGAAACATCTTGCGAGACGAAAATAATAGAAACGAGTCTGTAACTATCTGGCACGACGTAATAAACAATTCGATTTCAGAACATCCATTCAATCCATGGACTCCCCTTACTGCCAATCAACTAGTATCAGAAATCAAACCCCTACTCAATTCGCATCCTCGAATTGAAGGCATTGTCTATTGTCAGAGAGATGGTGCACCCTTTATTCTTGAAGATCTAAAGAAACTTCCGATACCAGTTGTTCAAGTACAACAGACATAATTTCGAATTCTAAACAACAGGACAAAAATCTACTTGAAGGATACAGAGAACTGCATCAAGAAACCGCACTTGAAATCAAAACTTTAGCTATAATACAAACTAACAATAGCAACTTGAGTGATATCTCAGAGAAGAAAATGAAACCGTCAAAAAACAACGAGAAGCACGAAAGAAACGAGAACAGAAATAAATTGTTTAAATTTCAATTCGTGACGGGACTGGGCTTAATTGTCCAGGCTTGGATCAAATTGTAAATATAATTTCTCCATCTCATTTTCTCCTTTCTGTATCCACCATTATGACTAAAAATTGCAAAAAGTGCAAAAAAAACTGATAAATGCCAGGGACAGATGTTTCAGTTGTGTATCTTGCAATGCTCAACTGCATCTTGAGAGCACCTGCACTGGTCTTACTAACATCGCCATCAATGACATAAAAGACTTGGGTTTTAACGCAATGCTTTTATGCGACAAATGTGTCACTAATTACGAAAGAGATAACTTCATAAAGTGTAGGACCATGATGAAAATGAACGAAAAAATTGAGAACGAGAGTGAGGGAATACAAGCACGTCTTGAAAATATGGAAAAAAGGCTGAGGGCATTGGTTGATGAAAAAGTCGAAAAAGCTACAAAAACCACATGCGAAAAACTGGAAAAAAGCATTCAGATGTACTCAGTGTGAAGCCTGTTAAAGATATGAAAGCTCAACCAGGAGCTGGTAAAGAAGTAAAGCATGAAGTACATAATAATATCAATAAAAGTTTCCGTATACAGGGGATCAGAGAAGATCCCGAGAAATCAAAATGCAAAAATTTTGTACCCACAACCGAAAAAGTGCATGAGGTACTAAACAAGTTAGGAGTTAGACCACAAATTGAAAAAATAAAAAGGCTAGGGAAATTCAGCAAAGAGCGCATCAAGTCAAGAACTTTTGTAATAACTCTGTCAAAGGAACATGAAGCACGATTGGTGCTGGCAAAGAGCTTCGAAAAAAGAGATGAATTGCGAGATGAGGAAATTTACCTTCTGCCTGCATTATCGAAAGAAGATGCGAGGAAGGAAAACATATGCCTAAAAAGACGAAGAGAACTTCTAAACGAAGGAAATCCAAAAGAGAAAATAAAAATCAGGAATTTCGAGCTGTTCAATAATGGGAAAAAAGAGATGATAGAAGCCAAACAAGCAGATGATGCTTGACTAGGCTTTCTCAACATCCTGCAAATGAATGTAAGAAGTCTCATATATCTCGAACGACGAATGAAGTTTGCAAACGCTATAGCAACATCAAACTATGACATAATATGTCTCTGCGAGACTTGGTTAAATGAAAAAATTGCATTATCTGAATTAAAGTTATATGAATACAATTGAAAACTTTTGAAGCTTCGGTAGCGTGGACTATAAAGAAATCAAGAAATCAATACTACGTGAGCCTTTCTCACCAGTATGTCACACAAACATCAACAGAATATGTGAGGCACTTTCCGACTTTTTGAAAAATTTGGTAAAACAACATGTGCCCAGAAGAACCAGACGTCGCCAATCACTTCCGCCATGGATTGAGCCAAGTACCTAAAACATCATTAACAAACTGCGAACACAAACTAGAATAAAAAAATTGAAACCTACAAGCTACCGCAGAAATTTCATTCTATCTCTTGATAAATTAGTGAAAGAAGCAGTAGAGGAAGATAAATTAAACTATCAGGAAAAAGTGATGTCCACTCGTAACACACATTTAATTTTCAAACACTTTAAGAGTCTGAAAAAATCAGAAACTTTCCCAAAGACTATGATCAAGGACCACATAGCTGTTTCCAAAGCCAAAGAAAGAGTGAACTTTTTGAATGAATAAAATCACTCTGTCTTTCCGCCCAAATCAAACATCAACTTCAGGACATGAAGTGCGAAAACACGATATTGAGAAACTTCAGTATCTCAAAAACTTATTTAAACCAAATTATAACAGAGCTTGACATAACAAAATCGCGGGGCCTAGATGGACTCCCACCGATTTTCTTCCAGCGAACGGCCAGAGAAATGACCACAATTTTGCATTGCATTTTTAAAAACATGAAGAGGGTAGGGAAAATACCAGATAAATGGAAAGTTGCGGCTGTGTCGCCTATTTACAAGAAAGGTGACAAACGACTAATGGAAAACTACCGGCCGGTGTCACTCCTAAATATCATGAGTAAACTCCTGGAAAAATGCATGTATTCAGCGCTGTATGACCATTTCATCAAATTTATCACAAGAAGTCAGCACAGTTTTGTTGAAAACCGTCCAGTTGTTACAAACATGTTATCTTCCTTGAATGAAATCTACGAAGCAATCGACAAGAACGCTGAAAACCATGTGATCCCACTCTATACCGACTTCTCTAAGGCATTTGACAAAGTCGCGCACTACGAACTACTGAAGAAAATGAGCAACATTGGAATTGGAGGCTGTTTCCTAGAAATAATCTCAGACTACCTCAGCAACAGGAAACATTCTGTTCGTGCTGACAGTTTCTCATCAGAAACTTTAGAAATTACAAGTGGCGTACCACAAGGATCGCTGATTGGTCCATTTTTCTTCTGCATCTTCATAAATGGTCTTCCTGAAGTATTGAAATTTAGTGACCCATACATCTTTGCAGACTACCTAAAATTACTAGCAGTGAATGTAGACACAAAGGACATCCAGCAGGACATAAAAGCGTTGAAACTGGGTAGACAAAAACAAAATGAGTCTGGCACTGGAAAAATGTTTTAAAGTCGAATTTAGAGGAAATCAACACGAATTCATTTTTTGTGAAACAGCACTGGAAAGCCCGAATGTGATAATGGATCTAGGAATACATGTGTCCAAGCATTTAACATGGACAACCCATATTGACTCAACAATGTCGAAAGCGAATAAAACGTTCTATTGCATCCGCAGAAACTTAGAATTCAAAGTCAAAATGCGCATAAAACTTTGTCTGTACAAATCCTTAATACTTTCTGTTCTAACGTCTAGTCTAATTATTTGCAATATCTCAAGAAACGACTTAGGAAGATTAGAGAGATTCCAAAAGAAAGTCTTAAAATGGATCACTGGAAACTATTCTGGCTATACAGAGCAGCTGAGATTGTTAAACATCCTGCCTCTGGCGTTGTTTCTCCAGCTGAACGAGTTACTGATGATGGCGAGTTTCATGCATGAAGAAAACAATCACATTAAACTCCCGGCAAAAATTGAAAATCCAGGAAGAACGAAAGAAATTTTCAACCTAAACAAGACCAGAACTGAAAAAGCTAGAGGAGAGTATACATTCATGACGTGCCGTCTAATAAATCGACTCAATCAGAAAATTGAATTTCGAGAAATGCGAGGCTTAAAGCAAAGATTGATACAGATGATGTGGAAGTTTTTCGACGATCAACTCTCAGAACAAAACAAGTGCACATGGGTCCTCTTCTGTGACTGCAACATGTGCCGAAATAACTGGACAAAATTTTGAGAACTTTGGGGATATCATCCCATAAGTATCCTACTGAAAATTCACAACAACAACAACAATTGTAAATTTTTCTAGAAATTCGAAGAGCTTTAAGGGCATCTATTTGCTTTCAAATTCGAAAGCTGAGCTCTTTACCTCTTGCAGTTGTTTTTTTTTGCTCTGCTCATTTACAGCCTTTTCAGTCGTGTTCCGAAGGACGTTAAAAAAGTTTTTTTCCGTGTCAAGAAAAAATTTGTTTTAATGAGCTTTATCTAATTTTAAGCGAGCAGTTCCCATGAAAAAAATGTGTCTCTTTGTTGGCAAATACTTAATTTCACTCCGAGACAACTAGCTTTGGAAGCTTAATTCAAAGCTTATTTTGCGAAACAATTTTTTTTTCTAAATTTTAAACTACTGTGTGCTTATTTGTTAAATTTGATATTTTTTTTTCATTAGAGTTATTACAAAATCCAGTCTCACGAACATTTTCTAATTGGAAAATATCGGCTAAAAATTTTTTTTTTTTTTAGATTTCGGGTCAGTTTTTCTTTCTGTGCTGTCTATTTGCAGTTTTCGATGATTTCCATAAATTTTTTGCAGTAATTTCTTTTGCACACGTAAAGAGAAATAATGTTTGTAATGTTGCTTTAATAATCTGGTCGAGTTCTTCAAATCTGAGTTTTTTTTAAATTACACCCAGTTTTGATTTCTTTTGTACAAGTGTTCGCAGGTATTAGAGATATAAGCTGATATAAAGGGCCACAAAACCAAAATATGTTCAACTGGACCAATAAACTGAGAATTCTGGATAAAGTTACTGAGTAAATGATAAAAAAAACTTTTTTAATCCCAATTCTGGGGAAGCATCACTACTGGTTAAATAGCTAAGATAATCTGGTCGAGTTTAGCCTAATTGTTGTGATAAACTTATTAAATAGGTTTGTTATGTTTGATGTTTGTGCCTGTTTGTGGAGCCCCCTCTGAGGGATTTTAGAGACAGGTCTGTCAAGTGGCTTTCTGTGGGGAGGTGGGAAACTGGAACTGGCTTGAGGAGTCTGGTGGTGCGCCGCTAGACCTACTGAGCTCGGGTGAGATTGTTCCTTGTTTTTGATTTTTCTAATTCGATTTTAAAATTTAAATTACTTTAATTGTCTTTTATTTTTTTTTGTTATTTGCTGATTTGTAAAATTCCCACTAACCGCTTATATTGGGTTAGTTCAGTCCTCTAAAGTTCAGTCAAAATCTTTTTTTTAACCTTTATGCTGCGTCAAGATGAGGAAAAACAAGAAAGAGTGTACAAGTAAAGATTGCTTAAAACCTTCAGGACTGATAAATTGGATTAGATGTGATTGTTGTTCTAGTTGGTATCATATCAGTTGTGTAAATATTTCTCTTAGCGACTCTAAGAAAACCCAATGGTTCCAGTGTCCTTTATGAGTTGATGTAAAATCTGTTAATAAAGCAACAATAGAAAATGATTTGTTATAGGTAATAGGTAATAATTAAGTGCTAGACAATTATGTTAATACATCCATCTCAAATGTCCGAGTACTCAAGAGAGTAACAAAAAACTCGCGTGTTCCCTTGGCGGAAAGTCTGTTGGACAAAATAAATTACATCGTCTACAATGTAGAAGATTTTACAAAATGGCTAATTTTTTTAACGTCGTTCTTGTTTTTTCGGAGCAACCGAAAAGAAGTGGACGCAAGCAGACCACAAGCATGATCTCTTTGATAAATAAAAAAATTCGAGCAAATGACGTGTCACTTCCAAAGCCCCATCCCCAAGTTTCAAACCCGCCTCTGAGTGACCTCGAGCAGAGAATAAAATTAATAAGTAGTAAGCTCGATGAAGGAAATGTAAAGGGAGGAATAAGGCTTGCTGCTTCGGATGACAAAATTGCTCCTTTTTCAACTGATAACTATCAAAAATTGTTTTCTAAGCACCCTCAGCGAGCCAAATTTGCAGCTCCAAATCCAGAAAAGTTGTATAGTTTTTTCGTAACCAATTTTGACCTATACAAAGCGATAATGTCCTTTCCGAACGGATCAGCAGCAGGTCTTGATAAAATAGTTCCTCAAATTTTTAAAGATCTTGTTATTAAGTCGAATGGCAGTGCAGAACTTATTTTTCTGAAATCGCTTACTAAGCTGATAAACTTCATTGGAGATGGCAAAATACCCGAACCACAAAGACCTTTCTTTTTTGGCGCAAAGCTTTTCGCCCTCATAAAGATAGACGGAGGGTTGAGACCGATTGCCATAGGCAACACGCTGAGACGTATTGCGTCTAAATGCGCTGGAAGTAAGGCCCTCTCCGAGCGACAAAATTATTTCGGAAGCGTACAGGTAGGATGCGGTACCAAACGAGGAGCAAAAATAGCTGCGCACTCGTTTCGAAACCTAATTGAACGCGACGACAATCCAAAAAGCACTGTTCTTTTAAAACTAGATTTTAAGAATGACTTTTACTCTCTAAACAGAGAAACAATGCTGAATCATGTTTATTCAAATCGCCCCGAATTGTACAACTACAAGCATTGCGCGTATGGTAAACCTAGTTACCTTTTTTACGGAAGCTCTGTCATAATGTCAGAAGACGGAACTCAGCAAGGTGATCCTGAAGCCACACCCCCTTTTGCGGAAACAATTCATACACTAGTCAAACAATTGGAGTCGAAAATTAATATCTGGTATTTAGATGCTGGGAATTTAGCCGACGACTATAAGGTAGTACTCCGGGACCTTAAAAACATTCTGAAATCGGAACCAATTTACGGCCTGAGCTCGAACACTGAGAAGTGCGACTTTGTTTTTTGGGACCGACTACTAGTACACAGTATAATTCAATTTTAACACAATTTCGAAAAATTCGCCCCAAAATAAAAGTAAAAACAAAAGAAGAACTCCTCATTTTAGGATCTCCAGTCGGCGAACTTTGCCGAAAAGGATTGCTCAAGGAAAAAATTAAGGAGCTTGAAAAAATCTCGGATGTCATTGACAAACTAGACGCCCATTATGGTTTTTACCTCCTGAAAAAGTGCTTTAGCTTGCTAAAACCCCTATATTTTTTGCGTATGATTTTTTGGAACGCTACGATAAATTTATAAGAAATTCGGTATGCAAGGTCATTAACGTGAAAATGGATGATAACCACTTTTTACAAGCAGTTCTCCTGGCAACCAAAGGTGGCTTGGGCGTTTCTTCCGATCGTCTACTCGATTTACCCGCTTTCTTAGCCTCAGTAGTAGGAGCGAAAGATGCCTTGAGCGAAATCTTTGGTTTGGAGCATGTGGATGGAACCTATGATGATGCGCTTAAACGGTGGTTTGAACTTGGAAAAACTAAAATGGCTCCGGAAAATGAAATCCAAAAAAATTGGACAGCGAAATTGCAGACTTGATTTTACGACTCGAACCAACGGACGTAAAAAGATTCAACGCTTTCCAAGATAGATTTGGCTCCCAGTAGTTGAACATCATCCCGTGCAAAAATTTAAGGTTAAAACTGTCGAGCCAACAACTCAGAATTGCGATAGGACTTCGATTAGGCTCAAAAATATGAGAACGGCATAAATGCGTGTGCGGAAAAGACGTTACCGAGGATGGTTGGCATGGTCTTTCTTGCCTCAAAAGTGCAGGGAGAATTTCTAGGCATTCAAACCTGAACGCCCTTATAAAGCAGAGTTTATCATATTCTCACATTCCGTCTGTTTTAGAACCACGACACCTCTACAGGACCGATCAGAAGCGACCAGACGGTTTGACGCTCGTTCCATGGGCTGTTGCTAAGCAGCTCTTGTGGGATGTAACGGTAGTAGACTCCTTAGCTCCTTGTAGGATTAATGCAGGGTCTGTTTGTAACCCAGGTACAGCTGCCGCTGAAGCGGAAGAGCGAAAAATTGACAAGTATAAAGATCTTGTAAATGATGGATATCTTTTTCAACCGCTAGATTTTGAAATTCAGGGCGCGGCCGGCCCCAGCACAGAAATTTTTTTTAGCAAGCTTTGTAAGAACCTAAGCATATGCACTGACGAACCCAGAGTAGGCAGCTTTTTAAAACAGAGAATCTCCCTGGCAATACAGATTGCGAACGCCGCTTGCGTACTCGGAACAATAAATGACAAAATTACTTTCGACAAAATTTTTTATTTGTAACACTTGTATATTATATTTTCTCGTGTCGAGTTGCGTGTTCTTGTTGAAGAAACGTAACCCGTATCGATTTTAATTTAAAAGGACTTAAACACTTGTCATCTTCTTTTATCATTATCACTTCCATATCTAGAAAATTCCAAGGATTTTGACTGGAATACGCAATGAAGGGACTCCTGACTGTAACCTCGGTTACTATGATACTTTTGACCTTCTGATTACATGGAAAAAAAAGAAAATAAAAAATTAAAAGCTAAAATTGCAATTAAGTCAATTTGAAAATTGTATGAACGTAACATTTGCCCGGAAAATACATGCCTCGGAAAGTAAAGCTAAATCCTATATCGGTTGGCTAGCGTTTAAATAGGCAAGCATCTTAATTTAAGGTACTCCCAAACACCGATGAATTGATCGTTTTCCCGCAATAACATTCCTTTTGTAGTGCAAAAGAAGATTACAACTGCTGAAAACAGATTTTTTCACCACTGTTGGTAGGTTGTGAAGATCAACCTTTTTGACCTTTCTCCGTGGCTCCACATTTGTGTTCAAATCCAAGAAGGCCAATTTACCTTGACCAACAGGGTACTCAATAATAAAATGCAGTTTATGAAACAGTTTGATTCTGTCTGTGGGACAATCTCTGTGTAACGACTTGCGGTTGATCTGCATTATCAATATCATCTACATACTACTACTACTACTACTACTAAAAGAATTTATTCCCTTTAAAATATAAAGGCATCAAACAAAAGAAATGGTATGATTATGTACACAAGACATCACGAACGGCAATTTATGCAATGGCAACAAAGTAGCATTGAACAAGAGTTGTTTAAGTTGAACATATCAATTCTATTTTTCAGATAGATTTTCAATTTTGCTTTGAAAATTTCAGGCGATGAGAAAATGTCGGCTATGTTGTTTGCTGAAATCATGTTGGCATACCGACAGACGCGATAGAAGAAAAATTGCTCTGTAAAGAAGAGTCGACAATTCTGGGTTGTTGAAAGCTTAGGGCGTGAGCTATTGCGAAGGTCTTTGGCTGCAAAGGTAAAATTTATGTATCTGTAAAGGTTGAAATCAAATTGATCAGTCAGGACTCGATTAAGAAAACACATATCATGTAAAGCTATAGTGAAGGAAATTGGCAAGGAATTCGTTTTTCTAAGTTGTTCTGTATAGTCGTTGACTCCCGTTACCCATTTCAAACATTTTCTGTTAAATAATTCTAGTTTGCGGCGATATGTTAAAGATGGAAACCAGACCTGACTACCGTATAATAAAATACTCACAATACATAGCTGGTAATATTTGAATTTGGTTCTCATGGATACTCCATAAGGGATTGAACGTTTCAAGAAATGGAAAGCTTTGTTAACTGCAACCAGTTTGGTTTTAATGTGGATGTCCCACTTTAAATCACTAGATATCGTTACTCCGAGATCTTTGATAGATGAAACTGACGGAATTGGGTAATCATTAAGGCAAAGTGTAGATTTGGGGGAAGTTGAGTTAAAACAAATAACTTTGCATTTATCAGAATTAAATGTCATTTCGTTTTCAAGCGTCCAATTGATAAATAGATCAATGTCTATTTGAACTAAGGAAAAGTCATATTTTGAATAGAGTTTGCTGTCATCAGCAAACAGAAAACATTTAGAGGTTTTCAAGACAGCTGGCATGTCATTAATGAAGAGTATAAATAGCAAAGGGCCGAGTACACTTCCTTGCGGAACACCACTTGTTACATGGCCTTTTGGAGATGCTTCATTGTTAATTAAGACATTTTGCGTGCGGTTTGTGAGATAGGAAGCAAAAAGTTCAAGAAAGCTAACGTCAAAGCCTAAATTACCAAGTTTCAAAATAAGTATATGATGAGGAACTTGATCAAAAGCCTTGCGAAAATCGAAGTACACAGAAAGACATTCGCTTTTTGCCTCGACGTCGTTATAAATCTGATCTAGGTATTCAAGAAGCTGAGTAACAGTCGATCGCTTGGTCATAAAACCATGTTGAGCAGGTGTAACTTTAGCCCGAATTTTAGGATAAATGAAATCGAAGATCATTCTCTCCAGAACAATCGATAATTGAGGCAATATGCTAATCGGGCGATAATTTTCAACATTTTCGGGATTACTAGATTTAAGAACTGGCGTAATAAACGCACATTTCCAAAGTTCTGGCCACGTTTTAGTTTCCAAAACCTTGACAAAGAGCTGCACGACTAGAGGAGATATTAATTCACTGCAGTAGTTAAGAATAAAGGTTGGGAGGCGGTCGTTGGTAATACAAGAAGTTTTAGCAAATTTGAGAGCTTTCTCGACCTTTTTAAGGTTGACATGGAGATCGGATAGAAAAATGGTGGGTTTTTCGGGTTGTAAGATTTGAATTTCATGCTTTTCTAGAAACACTGAACAGAAGTAATCGTTCAAAAGAATGGCTATTTCAATAGAAGTGGATGCTTTTCTATTCATCCAGTGCATTTGGTTTGGTAGTTTCCTTCTGGTAAAAGATCGAAGGTATTTAAAGCAATCACGGGTAGAATTTGGTCTTAAAGATTCAAGGAGACAAGTTTTATCCAATTCGATTGAATTGTTAAGGTCTTGTTGGATCGAAGCTAAATGATTTGTGTTGGCTGTCCGTTTAGATATGGAATGATGCTTATTCAGTAAATGAACTGTATGCGACGAATAATAATAGGGAAGTTGCTGGCGTCTTTTAGTTTTCTGTGCGCATGATGAAAGAATTGCATGATTGATCTGAGCGTACCAGCTATCTACATAATCATTAGTGGTGGATATGGAATAACATGAGTTTTGTTTCACAATGAGTTTGGTAAAGCAAGGGCTGATGTTAGTATTGAAGATCGAATGAGAAAAAGATGATTTAGATAGAGAGGTTTTCATAAAATTCCCACTCACAGTAGGCGCTGCTTCAGGAATGGTAAAAAAAGCAAATAAAGGAAAATGGTCTGAGTAAAGCACTTCATTTACAAATGCAGTGAACAATTCTGTGTGCGAAGTTAAAATGATATCAAGAGTGTTGCCTGAGCGATGTGTGGGTTCATATATAAGGGGCATTAAGCTATGATCCTCAATAACCTCTAGGAACAGTTTCGAGTAATCACAGCCACCATCAGAAGATGCCCAACAGATATCAGGCAGATTTAGGTCACCTAAGATTGTGTACGAACTAGAACCATTAATCAATTTGGAGTTAAAATAACGTATTGAATCAGTAAGCATTTTGGCAGGTATCCGAAACTGCGACGAAGCGGGGGGGTTGTAAATAAGGAGGAAAATATGATTAACTGCACCCGAATATATTGAAAGTCCGATGCAGTAATCTGCATCGTATGATAGAGTTGAATAATTTAGAGCAAAACTCCTTTTTGTAGCAATGAGAACACCTCCGTGTTCTCCAGAAGTGCGGTCTTTTCGAGCAATAACCGAATAGGGAGAATTCATAGGAAAAATTTCGGGATCAGTAACTTCTGGTTTAAGCCATGTTTCAGTAATGAACACGATATCAGGAGAATGTAAAGAAAGAAAATTGATTAACTTCAGACGCTGATTTATGCTCAAGAGACTTTGTGCGTTGATAAGGCATAACTTTGATTGTAGTCAGTCAAGATTGATCTTGATACCATTTCGTTCGAGGGTCAGACCACGAATTTTTAGCTCATCGCGTGGAACTTTTTCATTGTTAATCATGTCGTACCGTTTCTTGAAGATTTTACGTTTCAGAATCTGTTCTTCTTGGTTCAGGGACTTCGATATGAAAATCTTTTCTTTGAAATTCTTCAGTTTGTAAGATTTTGCCAGGCATTTTCTAGCATTCCATTCGGATGACAGACGAACAAGTAAAGGACGCGGTCTTCGTTGTTGGGGATTAGCTTTACCAAGTCTATACATTTGGCAGATACTGAGATTTTCTTCGCCTATATGATCAAAAATTTCGGCCACTTTGGCTTCTTCGGCCTCTATATTGGATGTAAACTGTCCGTTGTCTTCGCAGACCCCGTCGATGATTATCTCGTTTTCACATGTGTTGGCCCGGTGACTGTTATTAATACGACTATTAACCGGTACATTCGATGATGTTGTCTTGGTTGGATCAACATTTTCAACAGTTTCTTTAATGCTTTTTGTAATTTCGATTAAGCTTTCTTGTCTTTGAATAATCAGTTCAAACTTAGCTTGGGATGTGAAGATGTTCCCCTCAAGGCAGCCAGAGCACAGCCAGAAGCATCCTCGAATTTTGCCCATTGTAGCTACATCATCAGGAGACAATCCAACACATTGCCCATGGAACCACGCGCTGCACTTTTCACATCCTATAGCAGTTGAGTCGTTGTCCTTCACTGTTTTGTTGCATGGTCCACATCTAGTAGCTTTTGCTTGAGACATATCAAACCGGAAACTATTTAATAAGTTTATCACAACAATTAGGCTAAAATAAGTTTATCACATACCTTAGCAAAACTTAAACGCCTCTTTCAGATCGGTCTTTTTCTTGTTCATTCATACATGCCTTGCAATACCAGACTGTGCTGGAAGTACTTCGTACTCGGATTCCCTTAATTTTCGCCAGTTTGAGTGATAAAATTTTCAGCAAGCTTCGCATTCAATTTTTTTTGTTCTGTGGGTCGCTCCTCTCTGACCTGGGGGCACACGCCATTTATACATTATAAAATTGTCAGTAATATAACCTTTTTTGAACTATAACTGACACACTTGCATTATTAAAATTTTATTCATTTGGTAATTAAAGTCTTTTCAAGTGCCAATAATAAGTTATTCTAGAAATTCAAAGAGCTTTAAAGGCATTTTTTTGCTTTGAAATTCGAAAGCTGGGTTCTTTACTTCTTGCAGCTGTTTTTTTTTGCTCTGCTCATCGTATGAATGTTTTGGTACGACCATTCACAATTTGGAGGAACTTTATCTTCGGTTGTGTTTTACTGTTTTTCTATTTTTTCACCGCAAATCAGGTACCAAACATCATCAGTTCAGTTGTTCATGTTATATATAATTGTGCAGCCTTTACAAAATTGTTTCGAACAACGTTAAAAAAGAGTTTTTTGTATCGAGAAAAAATTTGTGGAGTATTTGAGCTTTATTCTAATTTCAATCAAGTATAACGTGCCAATAGGTTCGATGAAAAATGTTTACCTTGAACTGGGCAGTTACTTTGCTCTATTTCAAGAAAACTACTTTTGGAAGCTTCAATGAAAGCTTTTTTGGCAAAACATTTTTTAAAAGCTTTTTACATAAAATAATCAGGTCAAAAGTATCACAGTAAACGAGTTTACAGTCAGGAGTCCCTTCATCACATACTCCAGGCAAATTTGTAGGACTTTTCTAGATATGGAAGAGTAAAGTATTACGTCGATAGAAGTAAAGGTTGTTGGAAATAAGCCAACAAGGTTGAGAAAACTAACACCGGCACAGAATAAACCGGAGTTGAACGAAACTCAAAAATTTTGACCTGATATGAGGCTACGGGTCTATCAAATGCTTATAATAAGCTGCGCTTTTGTTTTCTTGGCTCTGTAAATAAAAATTTTCTGCAAAAATAGATTTATCATCTCTAATAGTGCCGAGTACACAGGCAACTTGTATTGCTAGCGAGATTCTCTGCGTAAGAAAACTACCATACTTTTTTATTTTCTTTATTTGGTTTGTAATTTTTTTTTTGAAGACAACTCATTTCGCTTGTTCCTAATTCACTAACTGTTTTTGCAATCGATTAAGTCTCTCTTCTAGTCTGGCCACTTGGTCCATATTTACAGACTAGTCATAGAAGTCGTTTTTTGGTCCATAACTTCATGGAAGTCTATAAACCATTTTTTGTAGAGGAGATTTTATGAATTCTGGAGTTAAATGATGGCGGTAATTTAAAATTTTTTGAAAGTAATCAAGTTTTCTTATGAACATTGTTAATCACACAAATTAATGTTAATTCATTTTTTTTTTGTAATATGGTTGCTTTTCAAGGAATCGAGGCTATTCTCAATGTTAGCTAATGAAAAGTCCATATTTTCCCCCCTAAATCGGTTTGGGGGGGGGGGGGACTGTACGGTTGATCCCGAAAACCTGTCAATCTTTTTGTTTATTTGATCATTCAAATCTTTTTTTTGGTTGATTGAGTCGGCAGCGAGAGTTTTGGTTTTGCTAGTTGTTTTTTAGCTCAGCTTTTTATTATGTTAGAAGAGTTCTGTTGCTTTTTGCAATCCTTTGATGTCTAAAATAGAATAAAAAGAGATCACGATTAGCAAACTAGTTATGCGTTTGTAATATACTACATGTAAATTTGTTTGCTTTTTTAAGATACTATGCAAACGTAGCTGCGATTTGAAAGCAGCAAAATGTGGAAACACATGCTGCAATGCTTATTCCAATAAATAAATAGTTTCAGAGTGTGCCGCCGGTGCGCTGAAAATAAATGTCTTTCTCAAGACTAATGCGCCGTCTTTCATCCAGTTTGCTGGGTGATTTAGACGAAGCGCATTTAGCTGAATGCAAACAATTCCCACCCAAAAACGACAACTACAATCGTACAAATTCTCTAAACAGACACGGTAAGACGGCCCAAAACAATGTGGCGGAAACATTTATATCAGAAACATTTCCAACTGACGCTCCTGCTGTGGAGCCTACCCTACTTTTCTGCAAAAACAACGTCTGTGTTCATCCACCAACAACTGTTAGTACCAAAGTAGACCATAGTCCAGGCTACCTCTCTATTAAATCGCATGAAGACCAATTTGGTGGTCAAACTTTACTTTTAACGTGGATTCCAAACACTCAGTTGAAGCGAGGAACGTCTGTTGTGACCGACGCCTTGCATTCAGGCGCCAGTCCTTTGTTCACACCTCCGCCGTCATCGAAAAGTAGATTGAGATCAAGAACTTCTAGTATATCATCAGATGTCGCACAGTCAGAGCCACCGCCGACACCAAATCACGGTGGGATCTTTCACCGAGTCAGTTCTGAAGGGTCAAGTTGGTTTGAAAGCCTCCGAGGGATGTTGTCAGGGCCTCCTAGTCGAGCTCAATCGAGACCAGACAGTCCTACTGAAAGCTTCACAACTATTGAAAGAGTCGTTAAGAAAGTGAGTCGCGCGAATTCATTGAGCTCAGAAGAATCCTCGCCCAAACACGAAAATGTGGCACATACCGAGGAGTTTCAAAATTTGCTGAATGATATCAATAACTTCTGCTCGACAGAAGGCGAATCGGATGCCAGTAAGACAAAAAAAGAGGCTCAATCACCAGAGACTAATGGATATACGCACAACGATAGTGTCCAATCAAAGTACGTAAAGGCTAGATTTTATCAAAAAATGGTAAAAGGCTAATTTTTCCGACCACTCTCGAAAAGATGTAAGTAATTATGACATCGAATTTGTTTTTTTCTGACTGCTAATTTTGAATGCATGAAAGAAAGGTCGTGCGGATTTCAAGAAGTACATATAATATAGCCCTTCCAGTTGATATTGCACAGAAAAACCGACCTGCCAATATATTTCCTTCTCAAACACCAATTTAGCAAATGGCGGATAGTGTAAAGATTTGTTAGTTTTTGGCTGAGAAAGTTAGCAAAAAGTGAGCATCAGTATAAGTCACTGACATAGTTGTGGCTTCTAAATTAACCAAAAATAATTATTAAAATTTAAAAAATTAAAATAATTAAAAGCCCAGTTTTTTTACACATAAATATTTGCCCCTCGAAATAATCAAATTTTTGATTTTGCTAGACCGTTTTTTGAATCTTTTTTAAACTTTTCTCGAAAACTGACCTCCCAAATACGAGGTTGTGGGTTCAATGGAGATAACGGGCAATGGGAAGCTCCCCTGCATTAGCGACCACTCTTAATTTTTTTTACGCGATAAGTGATCGTCCTCGGAAAAGCCGATTTTTTGAACGTTTGCTTTCTAAATTTTATGATTTTTAACGAAACACAGCCTCACATATTTGAGGTTTTGGGTGCAATCCAAAAAACGGGTCCGTGAAGCTCTTTTGCATACGCGACTACGCCCAAAATGTTGTTGACACAAAAAGTTTTTGTCCTGGGAAAAGTCAAAGTTAATTTTTTGACCGTTTATCGAGAACTACCATGCCAAACCTGGATTTTTGGGTTCAATCAAATTACAGGTTGGTTGAATATCTTCTGCATAAGCGGACAATATTTTTTAAACAAAAACCTATATAATATTCCGTATCTGGCGGATGGATAATACGGGTATACTGTCGTCTACTGTTATGCGAGCTGTTCAATTGGTAATGTTATTTAGCACTACTGGCTATCAATTGTATTTAGATTGGATTCATTATTTAGATATGTCTCGAGCGGTAACGACCTATCTTGCTTTAAAGGATGCTGGTTCCGATTCCTAGCTTCTGATATTTCGCAAGTCGATCGGCGCAAGTAAGGGCATGATTGGAATAGTTTATTAAGTTGATCTCTATTCAATTGATTCGTAGCTCGGTATAAATCTCCAATGATTGGTATTAATTACCATCAATGTTTACATAGTTAAATAAATATATGATGCAGCTCTATTTTAACATCAAGGTGAATTATGTAATCTATTCGGTTCAGATGGTTAATTAGAATGAATGACATCATGAAGGGATGATGTCAAACAACCTCACAAGAAGAAGTCTTCCCGGGTGGTTGAAGTGTTTCATCAGATACATTTACAATAATTCACATAATAATTTAAGACTGCTTTGATTAAGAATATGTACAAGTATCAATATGGTATGGGTCTATCAAAAGTTATATCGCAATAATTTAATAAACTCATAATATTAGAAGCACAGTTTATTAATTCAATTTATAAAACGAGAGAAGATAAATTATTTTAAACTTAAATGGGAGATAATTTTTAAGCCAGCCACCTTGAGTCGGGGTATGGGAGTTAAAGTGATAGATGATAAGGATAAATTAATGATATCATGATGTATTCATTTGTCAACTGTAACTAAATTTCCACGGCAAGAACTGTCGTGTGGAGTAGCTGAATAGTTTTGGTCGTCGTTTCGTTTTAATTTTTGATATCGCTGTCTTCGTTCGTTGTTGCCTTTCATTCTTTTTGTGCTCGTTTGATGCTGAAGTCTTTTTGATATGAGGCGGTGTGGTTCCAATCGTTGCCTCATAGATTGTGAATTGATTATCAACAACTTAACAGTGATATGTTTTGTTGATTTCTTCACGATTTCTTTTGAAAATTTTCAACTAGCTTAGCAATTAGTACTTTATATTACTTGCTAAAAGGTTGATATTTCATTTACTGTTCGTTGTCTATTTTTCAGAAGTCTTCTGGTCCTCATCGTATGGGCGTTTTGTGCCTTTATTGGCCTTACTCCCTGAATGAAGGTGATCGACTTTTTTCTTTGAAAAAGTCAAAATTACACATTTCTACGATGTTTTTGCATTG